CAATATGGCTCCGCAGGACTCGAACCTAGAACCAGTCAGTCTCGAGCGGGGGCGCTTAACCGCTAGACCATTGAGCTGGCGTCCAACGGTGTAAATATCTAACATAAAACAATCCACGAAGTTGCGCCACCGTCCACCATTGTCATCAGTGAGTTACCATCTCACAACAGACCCGGTGGAACTTCACTGGTTACGGTTTCTCACTAGAACTGGAAGCGTTGACACAGTAGCTTCATCTGTTGAGGTAATGAATACCATATATTGGTGATTAAACGGGGAAGTCGATAGTCAACTGACAAGTAATTTGTGTTGGGCTAGTGAAATTTTTAAGAATGTTCTCATAAATTCTCTGTTTTGAAAGGCAATAAAAATGAGGCCATATCAGATACAGATTTATCACTAAGTAATAACAAATTTGTGAATAAGTCGCCTCTGGTTCTTCTATATAGTATAATAATGGAAATAGGTTTAGTTTGGTTAGCTGATCATACAGGAGCAATCTTACTCTGGGAATCCGCTTAGTTGCAGTTCTTTGAACCTTTTTCAACCTCTCATTGTTTCTTTTTGGGTAGGGTTTAGACGCTTGTATGCAGTACTCGAGTTTAAGACGAACGAATACTGTGTACAGAGTCAAGATGTTTTAAGCATCGACATGGCTGAAAAGGCTCTACGTATTGACTTTGCAGTTCCTGCTCTAAAGCCATACTGCTTTCTAGAAAGAATCCGATTTTCGTCTAGATAATTAAACAGCTTCTTCCGAATAATCTTTCTGAAAATTTTAACAACCACTCTGTCTAGGTTTACAGGTTGGTAGTTCTCAGGTTTGTGTCTCGTACCTGTTTTGAAGAAAGGACTTCCTATAGCATTCTTTCAGTCTTTCGGTAATCAACCCTGGGTCACAGATAGATTAAAACATATGCTTAAGAGAGTCGCGACAAAATTTGCTAATTCCTTTAGTAATCTAGGATGGATTCTATCCGGTTCCATGGATTTGTCTAGAAGGAGCTCATTTAGCAGACCAAAGACATCGAGTTCTCTGATGTTTACAGTACCCAGTGTGTGTGGGGTGCATGTGTGTTAACTGAAGGCGAGGGAATCTCTATGGTGTATACATTGCTAAAGTAATTTGAGAACACCTTAGTTTTACCATAATCGTCTTCCACTAATGATGAAGTACTACTGTTACCCTATAATACTGGAATGTTTCCTCTTCTCTTATTTCTTTATTTTGCGTACGAGCATAAGAGTTAAGGGTATTCTATAGGTTCCTTAACTAGTTTTTCTTTGTACAGCCTTCTCAACTTGCAGAGGGTTGAGGCACAAATAATTCGAGCTTCTCGATGTTGAGACTGTGTCTCGTCAGTACCCAGTAACCTAAATCTCTCCCGCATTGTTCCCTTTAGGTAGATGGGCGAGAACCTCTTTACTGAACCACAGTGGTAGGTTTCTCGAACCCTCTTGTGTAGTCCAAGAGATATACGGTGTAGTGACTTTTATGTACAAATTTCTGAATACCTCTCAAGCCGTTTCAACGAAGGATCCTTGTTCTATTTTCCAGTCTACTGAGGATGTTGAGTGTATAATTCCTTGTATATTCGCTTTCAGATGTTTGGTCTGGCTTGAGCTGACATATTCTTGTTATTGACAACTATATGAAAATCAAATACTAAAACTGTTTGGTCACTTACCTAAGGGTGATGTCATCCTCATCATGGATCAATATAAGATCTAGTAAGCATGATTCGGAGTCCGGGTCGAAACTAGTTGCCTCTTTCACATGTTGTACAAGGGTACATGTAATAACCATGTTAACTAATTTCTGTTCGAAAGGATTTTTGACTTGAATATCTGTTTAATACAGGTGGAAAATATTTTGGGAAAACTTCTGTATGATGTAAAAGTATTTTACAATCATGTTATGGAGAACTGATAATTTTACGATCCAGTACTATTAAGACCTATGTTAATATAATTTATCTGGTACATTCCCAACCACCGTAATTCCCAGTGTAATCTAAAGAGACTGAAAATATTGAATATAACATTGAAAAACAAATAGAATCTCTTAAAATCAACGAATAGTAAATCCTTATCAGGCTTTAAATTTACAGTAAAATTTCCTAAGTTGAAACTTTGATATGATTATGTTTTAACAGAAATCATGAGGACGAATGTAGTAAAGGAAATAGTAATAATGTGGTGATGTAGTAAACGAGAACTCAGGTGAAGCAAACCGGTAGATTTATTAGCGCGTAATTAATGAAATATGAAAACCATACATTAAATACATTATCTGAATATCTTCCTTCCGCTGTTCTTTAGATACTTCATGATTCATTCAGTTATGTTGTTATTACACTTGCTCTGTGTTTCTCTTCCTGTTCTATTTAATTCAATCTTCTGCTGATAAGCAGTCCACTTCCGACTGGTGCTACACACTAATCATATCTGTCAACATAAGTAGCATACACCACAATAACACTCATTTATATTTATATATACATAAATGATCTTAGTTGAAAGTGTGAACCATTGGACTCTGACTCAGTGACCTAAAGGTATGGTACTGTGTAATCGAGAACTATTTTGTCCAATCTCTACTATGGTTTTATGTGTGTTTAGTTGAGTTATGAACTAGGGTTAGGTAGTTGTTTATTGACAAATGCTTTTCAGTGATTTTCTGACATCAGGCCACAAATAAAACTAACTTCAACTGCATTTCTATAATTGTCTTGTTGAATGTGTTCTGCCTATCTATCAATTTTTCTGAATTTGTATACATAATTTGTGTTTTACAAGCCCTATCCTCTTATCTCACTCATCAATCCCCTTCCCACCCTTACCTGTCATGCCCCTCCATCATTATAATTTAGTGTCATTATTCTATTGTGGGTAACCTATCTTGTGATTTGTTATCCTCCACTTTGCAAATGCTTTAGCCATCATAATGTTTATTCTTAGTGGCCTATTGGTTTATGTTTTAACCGCAAGATGCTCTTGGCCTAGATGCTTTATTTTATTAAACTCTCTGTTTACCTGCCTTTGCTGTACCATATGAATCGTTTTGGATTTTTTGTGTTTGGTAGGTTTCTTGATGTGAAGCATAATAATTGTGGTTATTTTTATGATACTACATTTATGATATTCTAATACGATAAATTGTATAGGAAAATGAATCATTAATGAACAGTAGGAATGGTGCTAAAACTGTGCAACTAAGATTAAAGACCTTAGTAACAATCTGAATGACTAAAAGTACTTATACAGACAATATTAGCGGATGTCATTTTCTTTACCAAGATAGATTATTATTATTATTATTATTATTATTATTATTATTATTATTATTATTATTATTATGAATGGTGAATGGTCAGACAAGTCTCAGTCCTATAAAAACATTCTCAATGAAATGCTTAAATTACCTGATGGATTTGAGTATGTTCGAGGTTATGGCTTATAAGTGTAATTGGTTGGAGTTAGACAATAACACGGTTGGATTCCGACTCAGTAGTCTAGAGGTCATGAGTTCGTGTGCGAGACGAAAGGTCCTGGGTTCAAGTCCCGCGTGTTGGATCGTGGACGTGCACTGCTGAGGAATCACATACTAGAACAAAATGTCGATTGAGTGCTTCCAGATTTTCAATGGTGATCTAACATTGATGTAAAATACTCACGTGAACGGTAACTTCACTGTCGATGTAGTTCAACATATATCATTCACATTTGTTAAGGTTAATTAATTCTACTTTATCATCATTACCACTTTTGAATAAATGATTTCAAAAACTTTATTTTTACGGATAGTTAATTTGGTCATAAATGTACAAAAGTGATCATCATAAAATGTAGGAGTATAATGATACAGTTTATTTTTACATCGATTGTAATTCTTTCTCATGCTAGTTAAAGAGAGAAGAACTTGATAGTCAACTGTGTATGATGAAGAGTGATTGTGATATACATACACATATACTAAATATAAGTATATATATTCACAATTAATCATCATTACCATTTTCAATACAGATCAGGATAGAGATAATATGGACTATAATTGAAGTAAGGTGTTATATGAAATTTTTCAGACACCAATACAAACAATTCATTATTAGCATATCAATATATGTTAAATTTATAATTAGTCATTATAATATATGTAATGGGATTTCAATGACTCACTAGTGTCATATTTCTATGTCAGTAATGTTATTGTTAACTTTGGGTTAGTGATTTTTATACATTAATAAAATATTCACTAGTAAGGAGGATGAGGATGTATGCTTCACTGATTAAGATACCTTATTCAGCAAAATTAGAAAGCAGTAATATGTTATGTTAGTTTATCTATGTTCTTTTAAATCATATGTGCTAACTACATATGTTAGTTAAACACTGTAAATAATGCGCCGTTAACATTCTTCAACTGGGTAAATGTGAAGTGTATGTTGAAGTTAGTTACACTATTAAAAATCAATCACACCATTTACGATATTAGGACAGGCTATTTGATGAACACATTCAGTTTGACAATCGTTGATATCATGAACTGTCTTGAAATTGGACAACCATTTAGAATCAATGAAAAATAGAAAACCGTTTATTTCTGATTGACGACTCTTTCCATGTCACCATCCACAACCACATCAAAAATTGTGCATTGTATGACAATAGAAATACAGACTACCAAAATTCAACTCATCAATCTAAAATACCTGAAGTTCCTGAGTTTAAATGTTGGTTTTCATTACAGAGGAGTTGGAACAAAAGACAAAATATTATCGATTGCTAGCTAGTTTTCAGTAATTGTCTAGCCTAAGTCAATTCATAACCGTAAATTGCTCTTGATTTCACTATTTTATGATCTCTTTTTTATAGATGCGAAATTTGAATTTCCCTGAAAAAGCACCCTTCTCTTTGCTTAGACAATGTTGTTTCCATTTTTAATCTATCTAGAAAACTAAGCTGATCTATTTTAATCTGTAATTTATTAAAACGGTAAATTAATGAATCGTACCAAGTAATAATTTAACTATTATTCTGAAAAAATCTCCGATTGTTCATTTATGTCGTTATAGTCTGCTCAAAATACATACCGTAATATAACTCTTAAACAAAAGACTCACAACTCAGTTTCATAACTGACGATAGTTGATAAGAGCACAATTAACAAAATGTTCATAATCTAGTTAAACAAATAAACAAACAGACAATGAAAGCTTCTCTACTCATTTAAGTGTATTTTTGTAATGACAATACATTTTAATTCGTGTATGAAAAGTTCAAAATCGTATATTTAAGGATAAGGGTCAAATAAATCAATTAAAGTTTGACATAAACTACATTTAATTATAAATTTGAAAAAGAAACATTTAAGCAATAGGGAATAATTTGCTCAAAATGGGTCATAAGGTCGTACTGATAAGATTTAGTGTGTGGTGATGAAATGGTAAACTTTAAGCTTGTTTCTTAAGTTGAATGAAGGAAACACGCATAATTTCCAATCAAAAAATCCATTTAATAATGAAATTTTTAGATAGTGTAATATGATCTTGACTATTTAGTTGACAAGTTTGCTCATTATGGTGATATATAAATTTCACTGGATTATTGTTCAACATAATTTCACTGGGGATTTTACCGAGGCCAACAATGAAAATCAGTTTAAGGTCCAGTTCCTGAAAATCAATTTTCTCTAAGCTTTCAACACTCGAAGGTGTAGAAGTCACTGTTAAAGTACGATCACGTACTTCAAATTTCACATGTACATAGTTTAAATTAGCATCATCTCCATTATCCCAGAATAATTCACCTGATGCTGTGATTCTCTGACCAGCAGCACTACTTCCATCATCAGTTGAAGACAAGATCACAAATAAACCAAATCCCTTCTTACGAGCGATATCTGTTGTTTCAGCAGAAACTTGTATTGGAACTATACACCCACAACGAATAGAAATCGGAATGACATTCAGAGGAGCATCGAAATATTTCCATGTACCTCGACTGAAATACCGTTTGCCAGTGGATAGGTTAATCCATTCTCCTGATGGAACGTAACCCTCAACGAATGTCCGACCCTCATCTAGCACTGGAGTAACCAGGAGACACGATCCGAGCATGAATTGTGAATCGACTTTATGTGTGGCCAAGTCTTCAGGGAACTCGAATGCGAGGGCAGGAGCCACAGTTGTTCCATTTAAGTATGATCTATAAAATAAAGTGTATATATACGGTAGTAAGTGGTATCTTATACGGAAAACCTGTTTTATAGCTTCAATCGTTTCTTCAGTCCAATGTGCAGGGTCTTGATTGTTTGAACCATATGCATTATGATTTCGAGCAAAAGGATAAAAAGCACCTAACTGACTCCACCGCACACACAGCTCTTCTGTTGTATTTCCTGTAAATCCACATATATCAGCACCAACCATCGGAATACCAAACATATTAAAGTTAATGATTTGAACCACAGACGTTTTCAAACTATCCCAATTCGATAAAACATCTCCTGTCCAGTGAGCGGCATACAAACCTGTGCCTGCAAAGCTTGAACGTGTCAATATGAAAGGTCGTTTATCAGGAAACATTCGAGTTAAAACATTGTGCGTTACACGTGCCATATCATAACCATACATATTATGCAAATTATAGTGTGTTGTGTTGTAATGTAAGGCTGATGGACAGATTGTCTTGTCGTATAACGAGTTCTGACAAATTCTTGGCACAAAAGGCGGATTGTCAAGTGTATTCGATGATGAACAACCACTGAGTGAACCACAATCGAAATTGGCCGGTTCGTTCATGTCTATCCACAAACCGTCGAAGTTAATCACTTTGTGGAAATCAGACGCCGACTTGAACCACCAATCCTCAGCAGACGGATGTGAGAAATCTGGGAAAACTGTCTCCCCTGGCCACACCGTACCTAGAATCGGTGTCCCAGTTCGACTATCATTAATGAAAATACCGAGTCTCATACCATCCTCATATGGCCGATATCCGGGACCACCTTTTGTGCTAATAGCTGGATCTATGATCAACACTGTTCTTATACTATAATTCTTGCGTAAAACATCCCTAACAAAAACATCCATTCCACCAAATCGTTTCGTGTCCACTGACCAAATTTGTATGCATCCATATAATCAATGTCAAACCACTGAGCATCTATCGGAATTCCAGCTTCCATATTTCGCTTGAGGACTTCTTTGACTTCATCCAGATTTTTTACTCCATATTTGCAGATATGAAATCCAAGTGACCAGTATGGGGGTATCGTTGGATGACCGATAAGATCGTAATATTGATTTATCACATCTAGTGGTTTCGGTCCAGTGAACACGAAGAAATCTAATATTCCACCAATGGTTCTATATGTGATGGCTGGTAGAGGTGTTATTGCTACTTCTTGTGCGTTGCTGTTTAAAAAGAAGATTCCAAATGCTGTGCCATCATACTTTAAACCCATGAAGAAATTGTGAGTTCCATAAAGATTTAAATTTGGTTGAGGTATCGCATCATGTGACCATAATCCTAAGCGCATCCATTTGCTTAATGGATTTGGAAATACTTTCTCGAATTCCCCAGGACCAAAGCCTTTTTGTGCATATACACGGAATGTTATTTGTAAGAATTGATTTGAAATAATTAGAGATGAAGAAAGTGAACCCGTTGAATCCAGAATCACATCTTGTTTATGATTGTTTCGCATAATCTATAGTGATATATTTGTAAAGAAAATGAAGTAAAACAACATTAATCTTATAATGATTTAGATAATATCATTTTAATTTTTCATTCATTGTATTCATGAATTAATAATTCATAGAAGTTTTGCAAGTAGTATGAAATTTCCTGTGTAATTTTACTATCATTTTTCTATTTGTACATTGCATATTTGAATTCTAATTGCACTGAAGTATTGTTTTCTTTATTGGTGTTAAGGAATCGAATAGTAAATATGCATTTTGTTCTATCCCTATCAGTATAAAAATTGTATAACCGACGTTTCGCGACTTGGTGTAAGCCGCTTCTTCAGAGTAAATAAATAACCGAATGAAATTAACACAAGTTTAAATTGTGCTATTTAAACTAGTGTTAATTCCATTCGGTTGTTTATTTACTCTGAAGAAGTGGCTTACACTAAGTCAAGAAACGTCAGGAATACAATTTTTATACTCACTGCGATATAACAAAAATATATTTATTATTAACTTTCTACCCAATGTTTAATTCATTTGAAACTGCCAAGTCCAACCTTGGCATTAATACGTATTAGGAATCGAATGTTCAACAGACTTATTATTTTTTAAATAAAAGCAAATTGTATTTCGAATGTGAAGAGACACTGTTAACATTAATCATACAATAGGGGATACTTGTCACTTATATTTGCATCACTTACTTAAATGTATAGATTATGTTACTCTGTACTGCTGTTTAGATAAATAATTAAATTTCAGAATACTGATGATCTATAAATAACTTCAGTCGAAATCATATTCTGATGTACAAGAAATTTCGTCTAAATTTGGATGAACAGTTTCACAGTAATTGGAGCCGATGTAATGTAAGACACTAAGGAGAAAAATTATATTTTTAAAAATCTTAGTGACTGAACTTTAAGTAAATTCAACGTTTTGCTCGGTAGTATGCTTCAAGCCTTTTCAAGGAAACATAACAAAATTTTGTATATGATATCAAACGTAGTGACTGTAATGGTACATGCACAGGTGAGACATCACGGCAGTTGAACATAAGGTTGAAGGAACACAAAATTTGCTTGACGAAGATCCCTAAATCCTCTGGAGTCTTGAAAAAACTAGGAAACAAGTCAGCGATAGCATTTCACTTAACAGAGTCTGGATATACATTTGATTTCAACGGGACAAGAATCCTCCAAAAATGTTTTAGTTCGCACAAAGACAGACTAACAGCTGAAGCATTACACACATGGGCAGATCCATAAAATTTTAATAAGAGAGATGGAATACAATTAGCTCTTTCATGGCAACTGATAATTGATAATTAAACCTGAACTACTTGTTACATTTTACTTTATTTAGTCCATCACTTATCACGTGAAGAACAACGATTATTTCCATTTGTTCTTATCAGTTCTTTTATCTGAATATTTAATGAATAATTAGCTTGATCAACACAATAACACTAACTTTTTTGTTTACTTATCTTCATTTTATGTATGCTGTAACATGTTTGACTCATGTCATATACAAAATTGTCTGATTCCATCAAAAGTCACTGATTAGAGGGAATGTATCGTCAATGTAATTTTTCTCACATCAGATCCACTTAAACATGCATACGTCTGTTATCCTAACATGAATTTTCTCTACTTCTTACACCAAATATTTCATTCGCACTACATTAAATCTAACTTTTAACATTGCTGTCATGATTGAACGACTTGTTTAGAATACAATTAACCAGAGAACAATATATTAAAAAATTAAAGAGACCATTGTGTTTTCACTCATTGAATCAACTTATATTTTGCGTGAATAAGTCTTACATAACATCGAAGATTAAAACCTGAAATAACTTACATTTCAGTAAAACAGTTCTATATTTGTAAGGAAATTATCAACTTAAGTCCATTTTTATTTACTTATTTAAACACAGATATATTGTTACAAAGGGGCACCGAGTACATATGCCCCACACAAGTCACTTGGTTTTTGTGCGGGCTGTGATACTGCTCGGGTGCCCAGACAGAAGCAGGTGGTTTTCTCAAGAAACCACACTTGAGGCCTTCTACCTAAAGGTCTAATCCACAAAGCGATGGAGCAACATCAGAAGATGCAGTCCCATGGTAGCCGGTGACCAATAATTAGTTCATACTCCATTTGTTTCCTTAGGATCCTGGAGCCCATGTGCACTATTGGTTTGGGATTAGGGTTTCCCAACTCCCCTAGGTGGATCCTCCGCATCCACCAACCTGGTTAAAGCGCCAGATATTCGCTTTTCGTTCTCTCAACTTCGTAAACAGCACCCCCGCCATGAAAACGCAGTGAATAGAACTTTCCTGGCAGTGGCTGTGTATGTGTGACCGTGTGAGAGCATTTCGAGAGGGAGAGTGGACGGAGTCCACTCTCTGACGTACCAGGACATTTGTTTCACTATTATTTTGTTAAAGGAATTACATTTTAGATAGCCCTGTACAGTCGTTTTCAATGTGATAAATCAATTTGAGCATAGTTGTTCATTAGTTGGTTCAAAAATAATCAACATGAGGTCATGAACAATATAGATGAAAGGCTTAAAATAGACTACCTATAAAGTGAATGAATACAAACAAATAAAATATGTTCGTTAATTTAGTGGTGCTATATGGACTTTCGTTTTTATTCAAAAACTAAATATAATCGAAGCAAATAGCCTATCATGAACAAGTCTTATCTAACCAGATTTCAAATGATACTAAAACAGATCTTATTAATAATGTTTCATGGGGTTATTGGCACAATAGTTCCTACGGGAAATTTCATTAATTGACTAGTTTTGATTCTACTGTTGTAGTAAATCATCAGTACTTTCTTGACTTGAATTTTTGGAGTACATACTAGCAAAGTCAACAAAATGCTGAGTAGATGATAAGAGATATGTATTAGCGTATAAAGGTTCCGAAACAATTAAGTTATTGAGCAATTGCATGTACAAGTAGTTGTATAAAACTTAGTATGATTTTCCAACAGAAAGGATCTATATTTCCTAATGATGATTAGGTTCTATAGAGCGATTTGTGGTGTGATTGTTACTCCAAGTGACTTGATATTACATTAGATTATATTAGATGTTTGGCGGTAATCAACAATAGACAAGAAATTCTACCTCTAAATATCATGAAAAATCGCTTCACTAACGATGCCTATACCATAATACCATAACATCAGTCCGTGACCTGTTGATCTGATTTACAAACTATAGTAAATTCTTAAGGTTAAGTGTATTAATTCACCTAACAGTATGCATAGCACTACTCATTAACAGATTTCAATAATAATAACTCATCAATTATCTAATTTAAACAGAAAATTATACATGGTTTATTTGTTATAACACTTTCCAGTGTTATATTTTAATCATAGAATACTTATCTGATAAACATAATGTTAATTGTACTACTTTTGAGAAGAGGCATCATTACATAAATTGTTTTGAAAAACACTTTTTCGAAAAAAATGTCCTTTTTTGTCATTTTGTCTGTCTATACTAAAACTAATTTAATGTAATACATATCAATATGTCAGTAAAATAAGTTAATTGATGACATTTCCTTTTAGTTAATTAGAAATTATAGGGAAATTATTCATTGGTTTCAATCTGAATGTGAAAACAGATTACATTTTGGGAACTAATAAAACAAAACAACGGGAAGTTGTCTCGCCTAAGTTTTAAACTCATTAGTAGTGCCAGCCCACAGCCATACACACAACGGAACACATATTAGACAAAGACAATACAAAAGTAATATTTCATTCTTCATATATGGTTGGGTTAGTGAGTTTTCGTTTAGATCCCTGTCGAGTTGACTCTGAATTTCATGATATCTCATTGTTGAGCAGTTAGAATGAAATATTTTTCCAGATGGGGACTGGGACTCTCATTTCTCCAAATGGTAGGGGAAGAAAATTTGTGAACTACTGAGGCAATCCCTTGTGATTTTCTCAGTAATTAGGTACGTAATAAATTGTAATCACATAAACTAATAAGTGCACGCGGTGAGCAAACAAAATTAATTAATTAAAACGAATATAAAACGGGAAAATTTATTGGAAAAACTGCAAGTTTGAATAAATAATGGCCCAAGCAGTTTGAGTAGGCTGTCTTATAATCACTATAGTACACGTTTGAGCATTGTACGGAAATTACTTATTTCTGTCTAAGAATATTTATCCTACTACTTCTTATTTTATTTGCGGAGACAACTAGATTCTAGTTCTAAATAGATTAATTTATTTGTAATATCCCAATGAGTAGAAAGATTAGATTTTCTGGAATTTTACAAAGATATTAAGTTATTTATAACAATCTATCCAACTCTCGATTTATTCGAAGTCATCAAGTCAAACCTTGGTAATGATACCTATATTCTAGTTCGTTCAAATTGTATGTTCTTCTCATTCTTATCCACTCAGACAATCAATCATGAGATCATGGATCATATGATCACTTAGTGAATAGAAATACGAACCGTAAAGAAACCTGTAAGGACTGGATGATCCTAGGATGAAATGGCCGTCCAGTGCTTCCAAGTTTCCAATGGTGGTCTAACACTGATTGATTCATAATCTAAATCAAAAACTCAACAATCTGTACAACCCCATACTGAAAAATGTAATATCATAATAACGGTTGTATGTCAATGATTTGGGAGTGATCGTCAATAAACTTAAATTACGAGTATTTTGTTGACTGTCTCCAATCCCATATAATCAAAAATATGTCCAATGGAGTTTTATATCACTTGGGCTATCGACCAGGTTTCAATTTAATCTATGATTTCAACTATACCGCATTACTGTAGTGCCTACTAAGTGAAAAATTAGTATAATAAGTGTTACGTAACTACAAACCATATATGTCTTGACTTAGTGTAGATAATCGGATGGAGATAAACCTATATTTTTGTAAAACATTTTATTAATTTGTGAATATGATTATTGGCCTACTTCTGAAAACTAGGGGGAAATG